TCGGCTGCGGTCTAGCAGCTACACAAGGCAAGGCAATTTTATTTGTATAGCGCTTTTCATACACAAGGCAGACTCAAAGTGCTTCACATACAATAAAGTGAAATAAAATGCAGGAATTAAAAGACAATTAAAAACAGCAAATAAAATTATAAATTATTGTTTAATTAAAGGCAGAGGTTAAAATTTAGCAGAAGGCGAAGCTGAACATAAAAGTTTTCAGTCTTGTTTTAAACGTGGTCAGAGTTGGTGCAAGTCTTAAATCCCCACCAGAGATTAGTCCCTCATTGGACTAATCTCTGGTGGGGACGAGTCCGCCTACAGGTGGGAGTCTGACCATCTGGTGTCGTGGTGCAGCCAGAACAACCTGGAGCTCAACGCTCTAAAGACAGTGGAGATGGTTGTGGATTTCCGGCGGAACAGAGCCCCAACCTCCCCCATCACCCTGTGTGACTCCCCCGTCACTATTGTGGATTCCTTCCGTTTCCTGGGCTCCATCATCACCCAGGACCTCAAGTGGGAGCTGAACATCAGCTCCATCACCAAGAAGGCTCAGCAGAGGTTGTTCTTCCTGAGGCAGCTGAAGAAACTCAACCTGCCAAAGGCGATGATGGTCCACTTCTACACGGCCATCATCGAGTCCATCCTCTGCTCCTCCATCACCGTCTGGTACGCTGCAGCCACAGCCAAGGACAAGGGCAGGCTGCAGCGTGTCATCCGCTCTGCAGAGAGGGTGATCGGCTGCAATCTGCCGTCCCTGGAGGACTTGTTCGCTTTCAGGTCTCTGAAGCGAGCTAAAAAGATCGCGGCCGACCCCTCCCACCCCGGACATAAACTGTTTGTGCCCCTTCCATCTGGCAGGAGGCTGAGGTCCATCAGGACTACGACCTCCCGCCACACGAACAGTTTCTTCCCGTCGGCAGTCGGGCTCATCAACAGAGCCCGGTCCCCCACTGCCTGACTATAACACTCCACCGGTCACTCCCCCTCACACTGCACATGCCACTTTAACTGCAATTCATCACTTTGTCACTTGTCACTTTGTCTCTTGTCTGTTACTTGTTTGTTAGTGCACTTTATGCTTAATACTTTTCTTTTTAACTTTTTAATATTTAAAATTTGTTTAACTTTATTCCCTTGTTTTTTTACTAACCCATAGCCTTAGCCTTATTCTTACTAACCCATTGCATTAGCATTTCATTCCACTTTATTTTATTACCTGTGCACTGTTGTCTTGTCTGTCTACTGTCGCGCACTAACCGCCAAGACAAATTCCTTGTATGTTTGACATATTTTGGCCAATAAATGTTTCCTGATTCCTGATTCCTGATTCCTGAGGAAGTTTATTCCAGCTGTTTGTTGCACTAGACTGCAGTGACGATTCAAAAATACACATAAAAAGAGGTGGTAGTTTGCACCTTTTAATGCAGTTTTCCAATATAGCTATAGTTGGTATTGCATCAAGTACTCATATATCTTACTAAAGAATTAAGACACTGTACAATACTATGTAGTACTAGTCCCCTCATTCAGAAGTGAAAGTACTTAGGCCTGATGTAATACTGGGGTATATTATATATAAATTAGTGATGCATTAATGTGTATTTTCCTACACTCTTGCAGGTTGAGTCACTGTAAACTACGATGATATTTAAGGTAATAAAATAAGTGTGGTGGAGTATAAATGTGTGAAGCGGCATTGCATTGAATTAGTGATGTACAAATGACATGTATTTGTACTGCAGTAAACAAAGTGCAGTTTGTAAATGACATTCCTTATCATATGAATTGAGAAACATCTGCACCAATTTCAAACACAAAAACAGAGTCATTTCGCATCGTTTGGAAAACGCTGTCCAATTAGAAGAGCTCACGACACAAAGCAAACTTATTACTGGGGAGACTAAAGTGATGCACACTGCCAGGACACGCTGGTTATTGCCGTGGTTTGTGGTTCATAAAGTTATTGAAGTAAGCTGCAGTCATTGTGATTGCTTTCTTCAGATATTATGAGCAGAAGCCTAACAACAGCAGATATCTGCAAAAACCTCACAATGTTGAATTAGTTAGTTGATTTACTAACATAACATTATAATCCACAACAACAAGAATACTTTGGTTTGTTGAAGAAACGTCTTCATTTTCTTGTGATGTTTATTTGTTATGTTGTGTTATTTTGCAGTGAGTTATTTTCCAATCGAGGAGTTTTTAACCGGGCCCCTGATACACTTCCTGTTGGAGGGCCAGTCAGTTCTGGTATTAGACACATTGACAGATTAATTGCGTGATTGCGCTGTAAATATTAAATGGGCCGCATTTACATGTTAATCCCTCTATTCTCCTCTAGTGTAGCTTCTCTTTGAACGAGTTTCCATTTAATTTAGAAATGGGTGATTTCGTATTTTATGTGTTAGGCTGCTGCTCTAAAAAAGACAATATTGTAATTACAGTAAGCTTCTTACAAGCTGATACAATTATTGAGGTGAGGAGTTTATATTGTCACGTGAAAGTGGGACCTTATGCTCCTTGAATTTAAAAAAACAACACAACTTTACCAGGATAAAGACATTTGATCCTCGAGCATATGCCACATCTTTGGCAAATTAATTTATGGCGGAGAGCAGCTGGCAATACATTACCACCTTGTTACCGCTGTGAGGGCAGAGGAGGGGGGGGGGGGCGTGACTCAATCCTATCAACCACAGCCCAACTGGGGGGGAAAAAAGGAGTCGGATAGTTTATTCAGGTAATGGACTAATATTAAAATGTAAAAAAATCCTTGTAACTTTTCTCTTGAATGAACGCATTGAGGGATTATTGGATCAATGTACCGTAAGTATTACAACGGAAAGTTTTCATTCTGCAGAAAATAGTGACTGTTAGATTGATTCCTTTACTATTATAACTGGTAGACCCTTTTTAATCTTTACTGTAGTCGCTGTTTCGGGATTGGACACTTTTAAATACCTTTGCTGGGAAGCGTCACAAGCCCAAAAAGTTATTTGACTAGTCAATACCAGTCAAATACATGCGGAGCCAAAAGAACAGTATTTCCCTGAAGTATAGTAGAAGAAACCGGTTGAGTGTGTTCACCTCGGAATAATAGTTGATAGAAGTATTTGAGTGAATATAATCAGTTATGCTGGGATGACTTGAGGTGATGCTTTGAATCTTAAATAGCCTAATTAGTGTCTTGCTTGATAAAGCGACACTAATAAATCAACCGGCTGTATATGTTGGCTGATGTGTAACAATATTGTGAGAATAGTAGAACTAGATGTGAGGTCATTTGGAACCAGTGTTCCCATTACAAAGTCTCACCACCAGAATGCTCTCTTTCAGCTGCAGAACGTCCACTGCTACTTCAGCCACAAGTCTTTAGGAAAACACAGCGAAAGGATCGAAGGGAAATGAACTCATTTGGATAATCACAATAAATAACATGGGTTAAGAAAAAGCCACATGACGTGAATTTTAGGAGGATAGTAACTTTAAACTAGTGGTGTTGTATGGTGACTTCTGAATGGATTTCTCTGTAGCTACTTGACTGCTCAACGCTGTTTTAAGGGGCCAGCGAGAACCGAGAAGGGCCAGATGTCCTTGATGCACCGCGTGAAGGTCAAAGCCGCCAGTGAAATGGCCGTGTGTGTGTGTGATACTGATCGAGGGCAGATGTTGGCAGCGTTATCCATTCCATATGGCTGTCGCTCGTCTGCGGGGCCTTTTTTGCAGCGCAGCTCTTGTAAACACGCTTCAGTTTGTTCTCTTTTTTTTTTTTCTGCCCCTGTAAAACATGTCCTAAATCTAATCACTAGCCCCTCTGAAGGGGATGGTGTTGATGAATGGGAATGTGTAGTGGTTGTAATGACCTATAAGCCCCTGCTGAGATTACAGGCTGGCGACGGGGCCGGTCGGGCCCGGCCGGGGCACCAGGAAGCCGCCCGAGCATTAAGATGGATTGTTTGGATAGACAATGGTGTCTACCTGGTTTTAATCCTCGGTCAAAACGAGCACAGGGGGATTGGCAGAGTTTAATAAACGAAAGTGCTCTTATAATCAGGATTTGCCAAAGTGCCCCTTTTGTGTTAATCGGACATTTTTTACAGCATGGTTTTTGACATCTGCCACAGCAGGTGGTGTTAACCCCGTCCCTGCCCCATCTGTATATGCAGAAGTGCACGCAACACATATGTAACCAAAAAGGGGAAAGTTGGTTTTGATATGTTGTCCTTTGGTTTAAAAATTCACCAGATCGACGTACTTGGAATATCGATGTGATGCAGCCATCATGTGACCACAGCTGACTACGGCACAACTGCATGACTTAGTCAAGGCTAATAGATGTGTAATCACACGATATTGCTAAAATAGAAAGCTGCAATTTAATCATTAAAGTCCAGCGTATCAGCGATAACGCATAATAAAATTGTTTTAAAATCGAGGATTACAACAGTAAATCCCTACGGGCCAGATGTGACAGCGGGAGGGGTCGCCTCGTTCTGGGACCAGATTAAACCCGAAATCCCACAGGACCGCACTGTCTTTTCTCTGCAGCTTATGGGCTTGTGTGGACTCAACATGCTGTAATCCACCGATTAGCTGATATAATCACCTGTAAATACACCTTCGCCATCGTGTTGCCGGGGGCCATCCGGGCATCGCCCCGCCCCGCCCCCCGCCATCACGTCCCACGTGCGCGTTGGACACTTTGTCACGGAGACGGCTGAGATTTGAACTCTCTGGGAACCAGAGGCGGACTCTGGAGCCAGACAAACAAAACAGCTGGAACAGATGTGGCCTGACCGAGTTCCCAGAAACTAAAATGCGCAGATGAATATTGTTTAACTGAGTAACCCTGAAACATTTTGACACTTTAATTCAACCCCTGCTCCTTGATACCGTACATGCATAGATAATGACATTCCCTCCTCAGGTTGCTTTACGGTGTCCTGCACATACATTGGTACAGTGCACTTTATTATAACATTATTATTAAATACTTACCGATCACATTTTTGATGAGGTGACTATAGACATACCGCACAACTATTTAAAGACTTTAAAGCTTTAGATGACCTACCTTACTATGCGTCGTTCCTATCTTCATATACCACTATAGCACTTCTTTTACTTTAACCCTTTCTGATTTACTATTCCTTTTTTTCTTATATACACTATACAATGAAATGTCTACATACTATATTGTTACTTGTTTTGACCCTTTCCAACACACTACTGGTTTCATTTTAATTCTGAAGGCCTTTTTTGAGATGCACCAAAACTATATTTTGACTGTCGATACCTTTTCATGATGCTTTTACAGACGCCCTTTTTTGACTTTGATGTTAGAAAACATGAGACGGGAGCAGTACTATCAGTTCATGTAGTTTTAATGCTTAATGCCATTCAGATTCAGCCTTTCCCCTTGAAGCACTCCATTACAATGGATTAAACCATTAAAAGAGGGATAAAGTATTTTAGCATTTTTGTTGCGCGAGAACATTCCTGAAAGAGGAAACGCATGATTTTGGTTCATAGCACAGTCATGCCTGACAAGAAAAAAAATATTAAGACTACATCAACAAAACAAATGTACAAATCATTGAAGTAAATAATATAAACAATATCTTATATATAAAACATAGCAAGCAAAATAAATATTACACATTAACAACAACAACACAAAAAAAAGTAAACAGAGTAAACACCTATTTGGATTGGGGCGATGTTTGGAAGAAGGTTCTAAATCACTGATCTGAAAAGTTGTTCATAGCATTTATGATGAGGAGATTTGTTTATCTAATTCACTCACAAGACAACATCCAACCCAAAGCCTTTTTTCCCATCAGTGTGCCGAGCCATTACTCAAGTGTAGACATCCTTCTCTACAGCAACCGCATTCATGCATGTGCTTATTCAGTCAATGTGTTTTTCTCATCAGTTCAACGTGGTCGATTTAACGTAGTTAACACAGATCAACAGTAAAACTAAAAAGTTCATCTCAGAAGGCTGTTGAAACGGGATTGGCCGTATTGGAGCTTTTTGGTTGTTGGGAACCTGCCGGCTTCTTCCATCTTTGGGTGTGTAAGCATATTCACAGGAGGTGGGAATCAGTTATGGTCCAGTCAAGGAGCCGAGGACCATGTTATCATTCGGGCACGAGACAATCATTCGCACATTCTCTCACACGCACACACGTCTGTACACGAGCAGACACGGACAGCAAACGATAAACGCTAATTCACTGTAATTGGAAAATTCACTCTTTAGTGATCATTCTACTCAACATATATAACTGTGCAATTTTCACTTTTTTTTTTTCTTCTTCTTCTTTTGTTAAAGCCAACCAGGAGTTGCATAAATGTTAGGTGGACATCCCAGGTGCTATTTGTTTTTGAGGGACTGTGTTCCTCTCTATGAAGATGCAGGATTCCGCTCCACCTCTAACCGTCCACCTCATCGTCCCCGCGCCTATAATGCTACTTCCGTTGCAAAGTGCAAGCAGTTAATGTCTCTCCGCCTCTCGCTTCCACTCGGTAAATTCGGAAAAACCAATGCAACAGCAAAGAAATAAATGTTCTCATGGAAAAACGGTACTGTCAGCGTCCAAAAAGCCACCAGAAGGGAGAGAGCATTAAGAGAGAGAGAGAGAGTGCATTTGTGTTGCAGGAAAGTCACTCCACCGAAGCAGAATAAGTGTCGTTTCTTATTGTTGCCCACACGCCACGGGTCAGTTGTGTGGAAAAGTGGTCAAACTTCCCTGCAAATAGAAAAGAAAAAAGAAATAAATGACACACGTCTTCCACACAGTAAGAAAATGCTGAATCAACAAACTCGCTAAGCTAACTAGAGCGGCCGGTTGTTGCATCTCTACCGTGCACACATGTGATATCAAACAAACAAATGTTTGTGAATCTATAAACCTGCAATAGACGAGGGGGCACTTACGATGCAGTGAGTGTAGAGTTGAGGACGAGAGTGGTGCGTATCCGATACAGCTGCGCCAGCGTCAGCTTCTTGTGCTGCTGGGGCGGGGACGACGACTTCTTCTGAAGCGCCTTCTCGCCCGAGTCGCCCGTGGCCTTCGACTCGTTTCTCCTCTCCCCGCAGGGGGACGGCGCCGTTTCCCCGTCCGAGCTGTTACTCTGGGACCCGTCGCCCTCGCGTAGTCCCGCGGACCCCTTTTGCCGTCGCTTGGGCTCCGCCCTCCTCAGGGTGGCGCGGAGTTTGTCCGAGGAAAGGCTCAGGCAGTCTTCGGACCGGTCCAGGTCGCTGGCAAACAGCTCCATGCAGGTCCGGCCCAACTCCGTGAGGCTTTTGCTGTGAGCCAGCGGCGATGTCTTGGCGTCCCCGCGCGCCGACGGGTCCCGCGCCTTGGAGCCGTGCGCGTGGGACGCGGGGCTTCGGCTGTAGAGGCGCTGCAGCAGATTGTCCTCGGAGCGCGACAAGGCCAGACCGGAAAGCCTCTGGAGGCAGTGGACTCGTGACTGGACATGAGGCCGCCGGCGAGGTTTAGAGGACTGGACTACCAACAGTTGGGACCCCAGTGAGTCAGTATCCTCCTCGTCCTCCTCGTCGTCGTCCTCCTCGTCTTCTTCCTGCTCTTTGAATAGAGTCTGTTCCTGCTCCTCCACCTCCCTGTCTCCCCCTTGGCCGGGCAGAGGCTGAAGGTCTCTCAGGAGGGATTTGGAGGAGAGGGTTCCATAGGCGCTGTCGATGGAGAGAGAGCGACACTGGGTGTTCAGCCCCTCGCCGCCGGGCCCCGTCTCCCCACCGCGCTCAGAGTAAACTCTGGCGTGGACTGTGGGGGCGCCCTTGGGCTGCAACTGCTGGACCTCAGACAGGAGAGCCGCTTCGGAGTCTTTTACACTGGTTCCCTGCTGGTTCGTGTTTGGGAAAAGAGGCTTTTGGGGTTCGCCCGGTTCATCGACGTCCATCACTGACAGGGTTTCGGTGGAACCATCGGATTGACTGAAAAGGAAAGTTTCGGGTTGGTTTAGTGCACCCGAGGCAATGAATGACATCACATCACGGCTATCAATTGAGTTCAACACTGTCGTACCTCGAGTTCTGCTGGACTGTGTGCCTGAGGCAAGGGGAACTTGTGGTGGAGTTGCTGCTCTCGTCTTCCTCCTCTTCTTCATCCTCCCCCTCTTTACATCTGCTCCTGGCGTTCTGCTGCCGGAGGACCTCCTCGGTGCGAAGCCTCAGCAGCTGGTTCTGCAGCGTATTGCACAGGTACATTTAGTATGCAGAAACGTAGACACAGTGTCTCTGCATCAAGATATGAACCGGCTGACCGACCTGGACATTGCAGATTGCATCGATCCAGCTTCGCCCCTGGGTGGCGCTGTTGGCTTGGAAGGTGTAGGCTCCCACTGCATTCTTGAACTCGTTGAGGTAGATGAGGATGAATGAGCCTACAGAGACAAAGAGCACAAAAGAATCAGCATTATGTGGGAAAAAAAAAAAGAGTTACAGCTTTCTTTTCCAGTTTCCTGTCAGCAGCAGCAGTTAATAATCATTACCATCCACGGTCTCCAGTGGTGGAAGGAAACAAAGTGGCTTTAGACAAGTACTGAACGTAATATGATGCATTTCTGTAGATTAAAATACCAGACAGTACGTAAAGGAGTTCAAATCAGCTGAACCGTCAAAAACTGGCAGGAAAGAATTTGGTTATTCAAATAAAAGATCTGAATCCTTCATCTACCACTGCTGGTCTGAGTTCTACATTATTATAACTTTTACACAAACAATTGATCATAAATCGTTACTGACCAATAAATTATCTCAAATGTGTGCTGGTTATATCTTCTCAAATGTAAAGAGTATACCAATTTTTGACAAATCTTGTTTGAATGATGTTACAAAAAAAGAGTCTTAATCTTCACCAGAGCACTCACCGGGGTCTTTGAGTTCCTTACAGACGACATTGTGAATGAGGAGAGGCTGGCGGATGATCTTGACTTTCTCCACCCTTTTCACTGGCTTGGTAATTAGCAGCTGGTCGGTGAACAGGACACAATAGACTTCCATCTACGGAGGAGATTAAACTCGTCTCAGGTCTCATAGAAACTCAGCTATTTAGGTTCAGAAAGGTCATCCATTTAATGCGGAAAATGAGGCGACCGCAAAGCAAAGCGAGAAGAAGCCAGTTGCTCTACGCGGCGTGAAGAGAGGGAGAGCTCGCCAGGCGAGTCGGCCTTACCCTGCTGTCTTTGCCCTCTTTCATCCTCAGAGCGCCCTCCAGATGCAGCTGTCGAGTCTCCTCCGGGGAAATTCCTCTCATGGGAGCCATGAGGTCGAAGCGGTTGTACTCCTTGAGGATCTGACGGGGCAAAGACAAAAAGTTTTGTAACCGCCGGAGCTTTTTTTGGAGTGTTTGGCCCGGAGCCCCCGTGAAGAGTTTCTTACCTTCTCCACCTCTTCGCTGCTGCCCTCTACGGCCTCGTAGGAGTCTATTCGGGCAGAAATGGTGGCCAGCTTCTGCTTTTCCTGACTCTGTCGCATCTGGGACTCCACGCTGTTGATGAAGCCCTCCACAGCGGCCACCTTGAGGAAGAGAAACAGAGAGTCTGTCAGTGTAAACTAGTAAAGCACCATATATAATCTATTGTATACATCCTTACAGAATGGTGAAGCAACTATTCAGATCCTTCAACTGAGTATGCTGTAAAATACGGCTACTAAGTCTTCCATTTAAGTATTATCAGGAAAGTATACATTGGGTATTAAAAATACCCTGAAAACATAGAAAACGTGTACATAAAAGCAGCCCGTAGCTTCCTCACCATGCTGTTGACGATGTCGCGGGCTGACGGCTCGTCCGTCTTCTTCATCACGCTCTTCAGGAGGAGGGGATATTTGGTCAGTCTCTGGTGAGGCTTCGCCAACATGTCGGCCAGCTTCAGGCGGTTGCACTGCTTGTCGGTCTCCGCCCACTGAACAGAGCCGGACAGAAACAGGAAACGTCAAAACATTTAACGGGCCAGAAATGTGACGGGAAGACGACCCCGGAGGAGGATTTGGCTCCAAAGCGAGGCGGCGTGAGAGGACTGACCGTGACGTAGGTCCTGAAGAGCTCGTTGTCCCTGTGGAGCGTGCGCATGTTCTCCATGCAGCCCTCCTCCTCCATGCAGTAACGGATGTAGGGCTGGAACCTGGTGCCAAACTGAACACACATAGACAAAGACATGAGTCAGACATTATTGACATGGGGGAGAAACAATTTTACTCAAGCCTAAAACTATTATTTTTTTATTTAGTTTTTAAAAAAACTGTATAATAGTTTTTTTTTAAAACTGTATAATACAGTTTTAGGGGAAAAACAGTGATTGGCTTTTGTAAATTGCTTTTGTTTATATTATGAGGTAAGCTTATGCATCTCAAATGGAATTTATGTTTTTAAACTAAAAAATATAAAAGTAGCAGAGTAAAATGATCCATTCACATTCAAAAACGCATTTTTTTTTTACACTGGTCGCAGATATGGGATTGCACCGTGATTGCGACTGACCGTCCTGAAGCCGTGGTGAAGGTCGGTGGGGTCCAGCAGAGCGCGCGCCTGCCTGGCCTTCTCCAGGACCGGCAGCATGACCTGGTTCCACAGCAGCGTGTGCAGGCGGATGATCTCGTGGATGTTGCTGAACACCTTGGCGGGCTCCACCTCGGTCAGCAGGCCGCTCTCCTGCAGGTTCAGCAGGCCGCACAGGAACAGCTGCAGAGGGCGGTACAAACCAACAGAGTGAGTTTCTCATTTCTTATGGGACGCTGTTAGGATACAAAGCCTTTAAAGCCAAAAGGATAATACTATATCAATAGGTTTCTACGTCAAGTTCCCAGTAGTTCACTTACGTCGGTGATGACTCGCAGTTTCTTTATGTAGGTGGCCTCGGTTTGAAGCAGCTCCCATATCGCCTCCTGCTGTTGGAACTGTCGCCTCGTCAGTGACTGCAAACACAAACACAGATCACGTTATTAACTATAGTTACAGGTTCATTACATTATGGTTTCCTCCATTCGGTTGAGAGATTGTCAAACATTTTGTGTTGCAAAGTGTAATGTTCGGGTCCGTCACCTGTCGGCTGAGTGACGATATCTGACAAGTATTGTTTTAAAAAAGGGTTCCTTATTTACATTGAAGAGAGATATTTATTTTGATATTTATGCTCATTCATGTTGTATAAAATCCAGATCAGACACGCAATTGAACTGACTGAACTGATGCAGAAATATAAATTCTGTTTGCTTTTACACTCGCGTGTCATTTGTCATGTAAATAAACCTCTTCATTCATGCGCTCAAACATGAGAACGACCCTTTCTTATATTTCCCAGTTACTCACATTACCAGCTTGATTACTGGCCAACAACAAGCAATCGAGACTGGAAAGTGGCAAGTGCGCGCGCCCGTCGGGGGCGGGGACAGTGGACACAACGCTCCTGTCTAGCAGCTAAGCGGTGACGTCCCTGATTAGTCACGTGCACACCAGCAGGTGGAACAGGTAATATGGTTTGCATTGTAGGGTTCCTGTCAGCAGTGTGCCGGTGAGCATCACTGTCGGGAAACAGACTTGAGAAAAGACACGCGATGGAGGCAGTGATGGTCGCATGTCGCAATCAGCCGCCAGATTCATGTTTTATTACAATTTCCAGTTAAAGATTAATTTAAAATGCTATAAAATTGAATTGCCAAGACTAAATAGTATATAGATATATATTATTGAGTCACATTTAACCTCAAAAGAAGGCACAATAACTTGCATTCTGTGTGTGTGTGTGTGTGTGTGTGTCATTACCTCTGAGTCGTCCAGTAACATCTTCCAACTGTCCTCCAGGACCAGGTTGCTCTCCTCCTCCTCCTCCCAGGAGTCCTGGTGGAAGGAGAGCTGCTGCGGCACCTTGGGGAGGCCGAACAACGTGTAGGAGTGGAGTTTGCTCTGGAGCTGCTCCAGTCGATCCGCCTCCTGTTGGGACACAGGCATGGTTAAAAAAAATAAAATTTAAAAAAGCCTAATTAGTTTGAACAAAGTTACCAGCAGGACAGCGAGAAGAAATGCGTAATTAACTGTCCGTTTCTGTCCGTTGTCTGTCCATTTATTGTCATGTCAAACTGTAAGTAAAGATGGGTCCGGACATTTGCATACAAACCCCGTCTCTGCTCGCGCCTTAATTCTTAAATCCAACAGTAGCTGCTATTCAGGCCATTGTTCAGCCTGACAGGCCTTACGTAGTTATGAAAATGACCTCTGTGCATTGAGACCTTTAACAAAAGAGGACCAGGGGTGGGGGGCGGAAGCAGCAACACGGAGGGAGGGGGGGGGAAGATGGACTAGTGGTTTGTCAGCCATAAACCATTCTGAAAAAAACTCTTGTTCTGTGTTGATAAATAGCGAGAAATTGCCCAGCAGACTCTGAAGTAAAGCGATCAGTGTCCCGTTGCTGTTCATAGTTCCCTGAAAGGAGGCGGTGGCGGTTGTTCATCCTCAAAATGTGTAAAGGGTTGCAGGGGTGCAGGTCCTGAGGAAGGATCTCTGGCCCTGAAGAGGTTAAGGGGGGCCGCTGGTGGTGAATGGGGATGAGACGGGCAGTGACAGGTGACTGACAGATACTGTTTCTACACGACATCTGCTACTGTGAAGGATGTGACCTCGGGAGGGAGGAACAATGGGAACACGTGCGCTTCATTAGAATGGAAGTTGATCACTCTCTTTGAAAAGTAGTCAAACAGGAAAGGTTTGAAGATTTGGGATTTTGCTTTTGCATTGAAAGGTGATCTTCTGAGGTGCCGGAAGGCGTACGTGTTACCTTTGGACAGAACCAGGCTAACTGCTTCTCCCTGATTCAATTCTCCGTGCTAAGCTGAGCCAGACGAGACTTGAGACTTTCCCCAACCTACTAATTTCGAGAGAAAAGTATGTGAGCCGACAACACGAGACTCGGAAGGGGAAATTACCTCACCAGACCTCCGGGGAGGCGGCCTCCCGACCCTCTCCCACTGCTGCTGCTCGCTACCGTTTAGTTTAGTTTTAGCTTTTTGTTGTTGTTTGTTTTTGTCTGGGCGAACAAGCTCGCCCCTCAAAGCTTTTTACAACGTCAGTTCTGCACCCCAGAGAGAAAATGCACGCCGGTCTTGGCAGCGCTCTGCGTTACCTTGCCGAAGGGCCCCACTCCGCCGGTGGAGCTGAAGAAGCCGCTGAAGCGGCTGGCGGCGCGGTTCTTCCAGCTGTCGGGCCCGGTGCCGGGCAGCGAGCCGCCGAGCTGTCCCAGGGTGTCCGGGGTGGGGATGTTCGGCTCTCCCAGGAACTCGGTCATGTTTTTCCTCCGTCGAGCCTGACCCTGCGTGACGGGGAGAGCAACGTTTAAACAAGTCCAAGGACACTAAACAGAAAATGAAAGGAGGCAGGCTGGCCTGAGTGATTTTTGTCACCTCAGGCGGAGGAGGACAAAAGTTTCCAGGCTGACGGTTGGAAAGAGACAATGAAGGAAAGAGAGAAATACACAAAGAGAGCATAAACAGGAAATCGGAGGGGAATTCTGCGCGAGGGATGACATCAGCGGGACCGTTAGAGCATCCTGGCGATCGGACGCAAACAGGAGGGGGAAGGAGAGCCGCTTCCTTGTGGGGACACGGCATTACATCACGAGTCGCGGGACGGCAGCTTGTTCCATAAGAACGGAGCCTGGCCCATTGTTTGGCCCCCTCCATTGTTACCCTGTCAGCGGGCCCTGCCAGCGGGCCCTCGCTCGCGCAATCTCTGCCCACTTTACGAGCGCCAGCAAAGCAAACAAACAGGGGCCGCCGCGGTATCCGGGGAAGCGGTTGTTTTTCGCCGTTAGCGTGTGGAATCTGCTGGCGAGGACACCCCCCTCTTCAGTGATTAGTACCATATAGGGATCACCCGGGCACAGAAAAACACAGATCGCAGGAACGTTCGTGAATAGCTCCCATAATAAACGGTAAACCAGGAGGCTGATGTGCGCTTTTTCTGGCGAATCAGAAATGCCATTAGCCTCCAGAGTCCCTATAAAAAACGACGCCGAAGTTCAAAACTACGTTTGAGGACAAAAAAACTTGTCCGCAAAACTTATCGCCGTAACGCGTTTACCATTGGAACGGTCCGCCGTTAGCCAAAGGCGGCTGAGATCATTACCCACTGGATTGGGTGTGACCCGGGTGATGACCACGGAAAACGTCGATAAATGATACGAGCTTAATGTAGCCGGACTGCGTGGGACTAATATTTTTGCTGAGGTTATATACTTTCTGCCGGGCGGGGGATCCCACAAAAGTGATAGCCTTTTAGTTAAAATTGTGAAAGAGTTGTGCAAACTGATCCCACAGGGGGTCCTCTCTTGTTAGTGGAG